TCTTACACTTGTTTCACTTTCATTTGGAGACAGATTATTTCAAGAAGGAAAATGTTTAAATAAAACTAGAGATACTCCAAATTTCTGGATTTGTAGTAGTTTGAGGTTGAATGCTCAGTTAGAAGTTCACTGTTCTGACTATACAATTAGTCCTCGACTTACAACGCTTCATTTAGTGACTGTTCGAAGTTGCAACAGCACTGAAAAAAGTGACTTCTCGCCATTTTTCACACTTACGACCGTTGCCGCATCCCCATGATCACGTGATCAAAATTCAGACACAGCCACTGACTCACATTTATGACACCTGCAGTGTCCCGGAATCATGTGATTCCCCTTTTGCGACCTTCTGACGAGCAAAATCAGTGGGGAAACCAGATTTACTTAACAACCGTATTACTAATTTAAGAACTGCAGTGAACAAATGCGATGAGAAAAGTTATAACATGGGGCAAAACTCACTTAACAAATTTCTCACTTAGCAACATAAATCTTGGGCTCAATTGTGGTCATAAGTTGAGGACTACTTGTACTTGGAAGCATTGTGTAATAAAACAGCTCCAGGTTAAATTTGAAAAGGGTCTTTCTGAGTTTGGGAGAGGCAGGACGCTCAACATTTTAGACTAACCAGACCAACATTCTTCAAACCACTTGCAATGTTTTACATATTCCTTAAATTAAAAGCTTGAGTGAAACTAACTAATCAGGAAGAGAGCTGCCATAGGGTGTGCCTATCAATAGCATCAGTCAGTGGATTCTCTCTCCACTCCATCCCATAGTGCAAACCTTGTTTAGGTACTTGAAGCTCACTCCTCTAGTACTCTTTGTTTATGATGCAGCTTTTCAGAGAGGAAAACGTTTTCCTTTAGATTAAGAATGCCAATATCTGAGTTTTACATTCTGAAAATATAAATGGTATCCATAGTATAGATCCAGTCTTCCAAGCAAATAGGAATCCCAGCTTGAATATTCCCAGTAGTTTTGGGATTTTGTTTATTTATTTGCCAAAAGCATAGTACTCCCAACACCAAGGAGAAAGACTGGAAGAGCTGGTTTGCTTTGGGTAATCTTTAAACCAAAGACTGAGCTGTAGGCATTGTATGTTTGCAGTTAAGAGTACTTATACGTAACTAAAGCAGCTTGAAATAAAAATTGGGATACTGCATGGCCTCTAGAAATGAAAAATGGACTCGTAGAAACTGCAAACAATTGATGTAACATTTTAGCAAGATTTCTTTTTTAAAAAAGAATTGGTATTCAGCCACTTGTAAGATGTATATTTAAAGCAAATCAAGAAGAGAATGAATAGATGAAGAAGTTATCAAAGCCTTCACTAAATTAATGCTAAATGAAGCTACCCAGAGTGGTTTGCTGAGATGGGCAGCTGTAAATATCAAATAAGGAAGTGGGCCAGGCAAATTTCTGTGAGCAAGAGGGCAGAAATGGGGTGACACAGGTGAGTGTCCCATCTGAACCATCTTCTGGGGCAGTCATAGTTGAGAACCCCACAAAGTGCCTCCTCCAAGACTACACCCACCACTGCTTGCATGCAGCGGAAGTAGTGCTAATGCTGGCCACACTGGTGCTTGGCTTTGCAAAGCTCACTCTGCATCCAGGGAGACAGGCGAAGTGGGGAGGAGTTGAAGCAGAGACAATCCAGGCAGGGTAGGAAAATGTACTGTAGGACAACACAACAGTCCTAATAAGTGTGACTGGTCACAAAGTGCCCAAATTTTGATCACATGATCTTAGGAATGTTTTGACTGTTGTAAGCGCAAGCCCTTGTTGTAAGTTGGTTTTTCAATGACATCATAAGTTTGAACAGTCCCTGAAAAAATGAAAACAATCTCAGGACTACCTGTAAGATCCAGGAGTCATGCAATCTCAGTCGTGGTACCTATCCTTTAAAATAATTTTCTTCCAAACATACAGTAGTTGTTTTGATCCTATTAATTCTTTAGGGAGGCCATTAAGATCCAGATCTTCCCCCAAGCCTTTGGGCCAACATGAGTAGACTCTCCATTTTTAGGAGTTATCATGGACTCAGTCATGTTACCATTTATGTTTATTGTTTTATTTGGTTTTAAATGATAGGTTTGTTTTGTTGGTTTTCCTTTTTTTGCTTTGTTTCTCACACTGCCCATAGTTAAACTGTTTTGAGATGGCTGGCCATATAAATATTTCAAGTAAATAAATAACCAGACACATCAATAAATTCATTGTTTTATTGTGGCTATCTAGTGAATAAACAATGAGATAACTTAATAGCTAGATTTCTAATGCACATTTCAATATTCTAAGGTTCTCCATGCACCATTACACCATATAAAATACAGCAGGCAATCTTTTTCATGGCTCTTAAAATGCAATCGAAGTAATGTATAGCTAAGAAGAGTTTCCATGTTTGGCAAACTTTGCAGAGGTTATAGTTCACCTAAAATCGCACATATGATGCCACCCAAAATCTGTATTTTGGTATCTAATGCCAATGATGCAATCTTAGCGGTTTTTGAAGACCATAAAAATGGGACTCGGGTTGTATAAGATTTGGTTCTAGGCTCCCTATTCCAGTGCAGGAAAAAAAAACTATATTATGCCTGCACAAGGTAGTCTTTAACTTATAATCATTCACTGAGTGAATGGTTACAACCATTCAATGTTAAAAGTGACTTATGACTATTTTTCACACTTATGACCATTGCACCATCCCCAAGGTCACGTGATCAAGATTTGGATGTTTGGCAATGGACTCATTTATGGCAGTTGCACTGCCAGGGGGTCACGTGATCCCCTATTTCAACCTTCTGACAAGCAAAGTCAGTGGGGAAGCAGATTCACTTTACAACTGTGTAAATAACTTAACAATTGCAGAGATTCATTTAATAACTATGGCAAGAAAGGGTGTAAAATGGAGCAAAATTCACTTAAAACTATCTCACTTAGCAGCAGAAATGTTGGGCTCCAACATTATGCGATGATATAGATTAATAAATATTTAACAATGCAGTTGAGTTCAATACTGCAAAAATGTAACCGTAACTTTAAAAGAACCTTCCAGAACGTCACTGTATTTCCAATGATTCTTTACTTCATGGACACTATTAAAGAAAGATTTCCTGGGTTGAGTACAATTTAATATTTTAAAATAAATTACCATGTCAATAAACCTGATTACTTTGTGAAATTTGTTCAACAGGCATAATTATTTTTGTGCCCTGGGCAAATTCACCACAAATCACACCAATCAGAAACTGGATATGTAATGTAAGTTAAAAATACTGCCATTCATCATGACTTAAGAGAGAGAGAAGGGTCAAGGATGGATACTTCCTGCACTCCAGTTTATATTTAGAAAATGAAACTTAAGTGTGTAAACCAACTGCAATATGAGAATCTGGATATCAAAATTATATTTTCAAATGAAATCATGTTGGTGGCTTATGTTTAATGTGGAATACTGTGCACACAATTGAATTTGCAATTCTCCAGTTCAGTATAAAGAAATACGGCAGTTCATAAATGCCATAATTTATCATTCCTCTCCAGATAGTGTGGATTACAACCCATTTTCCCAATTAAACAGCTGTCCTCTGAGTAGAAATGGTAGGAACTGAAGTCTCTCTGGAAACCAGCAGGGGAGGGAATACAATCATGGATTACTTTGGCTTTCTATAATTGATTTTTGAATAGTACAGCTTAGTTACAAAAATCTTGGAGGGTAAAACACTGAAGCTATTCCAGTACTCCTCAGCATGTGCACGAGGCACCCTAACTTTTCTTAAGGTTTCCACCAAGGCTGGCCACAATTCACTATTGTAAATCAATGTCTTCTCCCACAGTTGTCAAGTCAGAGAAAGTGTCATTTTTACAGATTTACACAAAAATTAAGAACTAGCAGAATGTGCAAACATCATAAAAACACCCTACTTTTTAACTTCTTCTAAATATAATTAACCATCTCTTAGCCACCACAATTGGGACAAGCAACCCTTTTCCTAAATGTTGTGGTCACAGAGTGAAACATTACATGAACCCAACTGGCATTTTTACTTCTTTATTTTAAATTGTGCTTCTCACAAGCCAGTTGCAAAGCATTGCAATGGTGATCATCTGACGGTGGGACACTGCAATGGTCATATACAGCATCAGTTGCCAAATAATATCCGAATAGTGTCCACATGACTGCGGGATGCCGGGATGATCATCAATGTGAAGATTAGTCACAAATCTATTTTTAACACCGTCGTACCTTTGAATGGTTGTTAAATGAGGCAGTTGTTAAGCGAGGACTACCTGTTGTTCCCTGCACTGTTTGTGTTGTTGAATTCAAAGAAGAAAATTATCCTCAATTAACAGAAATCTATTTAGAGTTACTTTAACACCCGTAGCAATCTTGGCTTTTCAGATTTTTTAATAAACAATCATACCAACTGCTTTCATTTTTAAAAAAATAAAATTTAACATTCCTCCTACTTGCACTGAAGGAGTGCATACAAGCTTGTGAATTGTACACTGCCCTTTGCTTGTTTATTTAAAAACAGTACTATATTCAAACTACAATACCTGCCATGTGTTTCCACAGAAGGAACTTATTGCCAGAGAAAGGGACTTTGCGTCTTAAAAATTATAAATGAAAATTATGAGTTCTAAATGGCCACCTGGGATTCAGGAAACCATCTGCAAGTTTAACACATGAAAATATATATAAAAAATTGCCTCGATGATGACATAGGTCCAGCACAAGACGATGATTCATTAAATTTGAACACCACCAACTCCCAACAATTCTGGGAGGTTTATCAGATACTTTTGTGTTTCATGCTATGTTCTAAGCCAAAAATTAAGTATGATTAAGGGCAAGCAGCATTTGGAAAAGTCATAGGGTTAAAGAGAACCATCTCTTCCACCCCTCAATTCACCCAAATCAGCAACAGGACCTAAAATGTGGAAATATTCTGTATTTCTTTCCTCTTAGATCTTATTCAAGACCTACAATATACCTTGTTAAACTGGAAAAGGTCACGCTTGAGCCTCTCTCTTACGGTATCATGTCCCGGCCTCAGAAATCTTCTCATTTTCTTCTTTAATTGCGAGGCACCAAAAGCTGTAGAGAAGAAAAGGTATCTGTAAAGACACTTGGATATCAGCTACATACAATGTGCTTAGATAGAAACAAAAGTGAAAATTCTGTAGAAAAGAATATCTGCAGCTCAGGATTGAACTGTGGAGTTCTTGATGCTCTGTGAGCTTGATCGTTTGCTTGCAGACTTTTCATCACCCAAATAGGTAACATCATCAGTGAAAGGGAGTGTAGGTAGCAAAACCAGATACTCAGTATTACTGATACTATTACCCAATTGTCTAATGAATTGTTTGCAAGAAAAGAAAAGAAAAACCAGCTTAGGGAGCACTAAGAATTCTACAGAACTGAAAGTAGATATCTTGCCTCTTTAAACTAGCAAAAAAGAGATTACACTACACATCAGAGGTTAGGTAAAAGATTCCAGCAGATTATTTAAAGGGTCTTCAATATCCCAGAATGATAATTAGTACCAGTATATCCTGTCATAGCAAATTCAAGTTCATTGAAGATGGGAGAAAGGGGAGCCTTCCCATAAGTGTAATAAAGGTTAATAAACATATTAAAATAATGTTACATGTGCAAATATACATTTTATGTGTTATGTTATTATGAGAACATTTCTCCTTTGTTCATATTACCCAGCACTGTATTCTAAATCAAGAATTTAGCTTAAAGAGTTGAGAATATATGATCCTGCCTTGGCATTTCTTGATTAGAATTGATTTATTGCAAAATATTTCTAGGAATATAAAAACCCCATGTCCTTAGAGAATATCTTCTAGTATGATATTTTACTCTATGCCGTTTGGAGCTGGTTAAATGGTTAAAGCAACACATAGGCACTTGAAATTAATTGTGGGCATTGGTGCATACACACACAATCTCATTTTAAAAGGCCTAGCTATGTACCATATCAACTATGCTGCCATAAGACTATAACAAACACTATTCTGTCAACTGGTTCTACTTTCCAGGAGACTAGCTTGTTCTGATCCAACTTAAAAGACCCACTATTACTTCAGAAAAAAAATAGAACAAAAAAATGGGTCTTCAAAAGATGCTTATGTTAGTCAACCTAGCATACTTCAAACAATTAAGCAATCTACTGGACACCAATCAAACTGATTGGTCTTTGTGAGGCCACAAATTAGACCCATAAGTTGATATAAATATGAATGGTAGGTTCCAGTGGAGAAAGGCAGTCCTTTAAGAAAACTGAGTCGAGATTAGGGCAGAATTAGTCTCAGGAATGGCAATCAAGGTAATACTTGGTACAACATACCCCAACTGACTTTGGAATTGCACATATTGATAATGCTGACATAGCCAAGACCTATTCCACAAATGGTACAACAACCTGTAACACCACCTTACAGGTGGTGTAAGCAAGCGCTCACAGAAAGATCTAAAATCCACAATGCTATTTCTAATGTTGTATGAATCGAGTAAATAAGGATATCATGGTTAATAGCATATTCAAGTCTCTGAAGGACCCATCAGAATATATGCATTTTAATCTATTACTCAATGTAAGTCATATCAGTATAACCTAAAAAATTTACATGTAGGTCTGAAACCGGATTGCATGTGAATCCTTTCAATTATTTTTTATCCCTTTAATGGGTACTATGAAGAAGATATATCCTTGATTGAGCTGAAGATGGCAAGGTTGCAATGGGTGTTTCTTTTTGCAATATGTTTCAACTATATTTGGCCTAGAAACCTGAAGTGAAATTATGTTGCAATAGAAGGAGTAAAGTTCTATTAAAATTATGTTTTAGAGTTGCAGCCGCAGTTGAAGAGAAACAAGTAGAAAACAAGGTCTCCTTAAATGAGATGTTGAAGACAATAAATAAAGAGATATGCAATTCCAAACAATTACAAATATTTAAAGAAATAATGGCGATATACATGAATCTTCATTTCACTTACAGCTAGTCAGCTAACTATTATATGTCTAACCTTCTTTAAGAACTAAAGTAACAAAATGTAGAATATGACCTTGTTACTAACTATTTTTATGAAAGCACAGAAAAGCTCAAAGCAGAAAAAAACAAAACAATAAGGATTGCAACACCTTGGAGTATAGAGTACTTGTATCTTTTTATATAGAATGCTGAGTATCTCTTGAAAAACTAATAAACAATGAACTAAATAGAAACATTCTGAGTCAGTGCAATTTAGAGTCCAGAGTTCACTTGCCTTCATTTGCAAAAAAAAAAAAGTTGGGGAAAGTTTATGACCATAAAGGAAGGCCAATTTAAAAGGAGAAGGCTGAGAACACAGAGGTTACTGCCTCAAACATAAGATGTACAGGAATATAATAGCAGGACAAAAGGCAAAAAAAACCCAATTTGTGGATTGAGTAAAATAAAAAGAAATCCTTGAGCCATATATCTGTGTACATTCGAGAATCAGCTTCCCCGTTCGCAAAGTTTTGTATTCAGATTAAAGACATTGCAGAATACAGTCCAACCCCACCTGCTCAATCAAGGAAACCCTATGCCATTCCAAACAAATGGCTGTCCAATCTCTTCTTAAAATCCTCTAATGATGGAGTACCCACAGCTGCTGAAAGCAAACTGTTAACACTGGTTAATTATTCTGCTTAGTTTATTCTAGGTTGGATTTCTCCTTGATAAGCTTCCCTGATATTTCTTGTCCTACCTTCAGGTACTTTTGAGAATAGATTAACCCCCCTCTTGTCTGTGACCTTCAAACCCCAATCCTTCTCTGTTAGACTAGACATACTCAGTTCCTGCAACCATTAATTACTGATACTATTTGTACCATGGTGCTTGAACTATTTGTAGTTCAACTGGGATTCTCAATTCTTCAGTCAAAATAGAAAATGGCCCTATTTAAAGTAATGAGACAAAAATTTGGCCTTATTTTGCAGTCTGCTAACAGACTGCAAAAAAATTTTTTGCCTAAGCTGGATACGCTTCAGACATATTGGACATCAAGTCTCACAAGTGTACTGATGGGAATTATGGAAATTCAAGCTAAACCAAAACAATTAGCACCAAAACACTGACTATTGCCAATGTACATTCATCATAGAAATCATTCCAATTTCTTTGAAGATACACACCTGTTCTTTTGGTTGCAATATCTAATACTAATGCATCTTTATTCAAAAGAACTTGATTTTAAATGATAAACTTATGAAACTAAAGTCTTTATATAAAGCATTTGACTGAGCTATAACTCTTCCATACATTTTTTTTAAATCTCCCAGATCAAAACAATCCTGTAAGAACACATGTTCTTCTGTCAAGAAATGAATGAGACCATAGTCTGTGATCACAAAGAAAGCTGTAGACTTTAATTTTTATTTACATATATTTATATATCTCATTTAGAAACTGCCCATCTTCCTCACAGAGCAACCTCGGGCAGTGTAGCGTAGGCATAAAATCATAAAAGCTATAAACATTGTAAAAGGCAATTAAAACAGAATTCTGCAAATCTATTTTTATACGAATACAGTATCTATGTTGGTCTTTTGCAGCAAACACCACAAGGAGTGCTACAACGGTCTAATATATAATTTGTTTGAGATTTTAAGACACATTTGTGAGAATTTTAAAATCAGATTGTTCAGATTGTTTTCCATAAGATCTTTATTCTAGTACAAATAAACCATGCAGAACAATCTCAAATATAAATATTCCTAGAAGGGTTTACTTTAATGTTAGTAACTAAGCACAGACAAAACTATATTAATTAGAAAACTATGAGAACTAATCAAATTACTTCCATTTGAAATTTTTGGACTGCGCAGGAATATTGCAGCAGCCACAGTATTCATTACTTCATTATATAAAGTACATCATTACTTTATGCTTATGTAAACAAGTGGGCTCATTGTCTCCACATTCCAACTAATACTGTGGTTATCCCATTTTTCATGTCAAAAATTCATAAAGGAATAGTTTAATTTAGTCACTACACAGGACAAAATGACAGTCCCGAAAATATCAGTTCATTTTACAACTTGTTTCTTCTCTAAATCTAAAAAGACTATTAGACATCTTGTGTAATGTTTTAGGATTAAGCTAACGTTTTAGAACCTAACCTAGCTTTGCACAAAGTGGAATTATCCTCTGTTTATATGCATCAATCTGTATTACTGTGTAGCTTCTAAAGTTCAACTAATTGAGATACTAATCTGAGTAAAAATAATATAGCAAGGTATTGTAGTTAACTTGATAAAATGACAAGGTCCTTTAATTACAATAAGTAAAAACAAATGGGAAGGGCAGTGTCCAACTCTGTAACAAGCACAAAAAGAAAAAAAAGTGGAAGTAATAACCACAGTGAGATGCTCATAAGGATGTTGTTTGAACAAACAACCTTTGCCCTTCATTATTATGAATAAGTAACAAAAGGATTGCCAAGGTTAAGCCCAGTGCATAACAAAATGTCCTGGTTCAGTCCTGAGCACATTTCCCTTAAAAGCAAGACCTGTAAATTTATACAGCTGGAACAGGATTGGTTTAACTTGATTTATACAGAGAGCACTACTCTATTCACAGGGCACACATTTCTCTCTGCAGTACAACACCCTCAACACTAAGAAGATTAAAGTCTGGTCACCCAGCCTACTTCTCCTCAGCAGACTGCTCCTCCTTTTATTATTGTGGGAGAGAAACACTGACACTTCAAAGGCATTCTTAAAGTAATTCTTTACTTCTGAGAGTCATGTCCTTTGAATTCAATTCGGCTTTATCTTATCACCCCAGTTTGCATATTGTTTTATACATAACTGAACAATTAACAATGCTGTATGTGCTCCAATTCCTACAGCAATAAAAATATTTTTTTTAAAAAGTAGAGATATACACCTGACTGATAGAAGAGCTGCGCATAATTGAGCCAACTCCCAAATTCACAGCCTGAAGCATACTAAGAGCAAACATTTTTACAGAATGAATTTAAGAGTTGTTCAAAGCAGCTGAAAAATTATAAAATAGCATGGGAACTAATAACATGACAACCAATTTGCTAGAGTAAAA